TCGTCATGGGAGTACTTGCAGAAATTTTTTTTAACCCTTTCCGGCAACGTCCTCTGAGGTAATAATCGAAACAGCAATTGTGGAACCCTGCGTCCCTTAGTGACTTCCTGGAAGCATTGTCCCAAGCTTTGCCGGGCTCCCAAGTCCCTTCCAATGCTATGTCATCGTTGTGAAGATACCTGCATGTAGTCCCATATTTACAACCACCTTGATTGTAATACAGACACAGACGACCTTTTGGCTCACCCGACGTAGGTTCACCCTTTGATGCACCTTTGCCAAAATTGTACTTGGCCCGGAAGGCTAAATCCTCCCGCTCCTGCTGTGCCTCATCCACTGTACCTTCCTCTGTGGGAGGGTCACCGATGTTCCCATCCTCATCATCAGCTTCTTGGCTATTCTTTGGATCAGTTGACCCTCCTCCTGGCCAACCTTCACCATAACGACGATGCTCATAGGAACACTCATCACCATTGCGACACCTTCCCCGATTGAAGAACTTGCACAGCTTGCTGTAACCAGGTGACAACACAGTCTTTGGAGTCATGTGAGCCTTTTTGTACTGGTCAGGGTCCATGTAGGCTTCCATTGGCTTGTTCTCCCTTTTGCTCATGGATTGCACTGCACCATCAAGCTCCTGCAAAAATAGCTTGGTGTCCAACCAAAGCGCGTTCCAAAACTCATCTTCCCCTTGATTCAGCACCGTTGCCACCGCTTCACCCACAACTGGTCGAGAAAATCTCCTTTTTCTGCATGCCAGTTCGAAAAGCGCGTTGTGGTACTGTTTTCGGGAAAAAGTGGTTAACTTCCCCAAGCCTGTGCTTTCTGTACCATCAGGCTTCCAACCATCATTTTGCAAGATGCCATACGCGCGCCGAGCTTCCGCATTGAGGAATGCCTGATCTGCAACACACTCCTGTAAATCTTCCATCGGGCGACCCAACAGCATCCCAGTAATTTTGCCAACATAGGCTTCCTCTTCGTTTCCATTCTCCAGAAGAGCTTTGTAGATCTTTTCTCCATAAAGTTGCCTTTCTTCTCGTTCTTCAGAGGATAACTCCTGTACCACAAGCTCCTCATCGGATTGCTCTTCCTCCTGTTTCCAGTCCCATTGACCGTTGGAATCTTGGTACCATTGACCAACATACCATGAATTCGTCCACCACGTACTCCAGCCGCTGGGTTTCCATTTCCGCAGCGTTGAGGAAGAGTCCTCCACGTCCTCTTCCAAAACCAGAAAGGTGTCCAAGATTATGGTACCATCATCTTCCACTAGTTTCACTGTTCCATTGACAGTATCACCAAATCTGAACTGACACGTATTGTTCCCTTCTGCAGGAATCAATACATTCAAATCACCAAGGTCCAAAAAGGCTCCATACCCATTGATGCAGCGCACTAGACCCATGATCTCATCTCCCTCTTGATAGCAATGTGTCCCAGGTGATTCCAAGGCTCCCGCTCGGGGCACTTTCTTTGCATGCTCTTCAGAAACCACCTCTGTATCATCGGCTCCTGGCGCATCCTTTGTTTTCACCTTTGGGTCACACTGCTCGTCCTGCTCCACGAGTCCCACAAGCTCATCTTTTTTGTGCTCCTGGACTTCAGGACCTCCCTTTTTCTCCGCCAAAGGCTTTGCCTCATCTGCTGTAATTCGCTCGGTGTCGACTTCCGGCGAACTTCCAGACGGCAACACTTCTACCTTCATGGGAGTGGACCCATCATTGGAGTCCTTTGTCACACCTTCTGCAGCAGGCAAATCTTCTTCCACTGCAGGGCAATTGAGTCGATCATCCACGGCAGGCACGCTTTCTTCCACCGCAGGCTCCCTTGGTTCCATGGCTTCCAAAGGAGAATTTCCACCATCGTTGACCACAGCTGCCTCATTGGCTCCGGCGTAGCCCTTGTCATTTCGTTCCTCGCGGCTAACTTCAGGTTGCACCAGTGCGTCCACCTGTGAACCTCCATCATCAGCTGCTGCGGAGACCTGCGCCCCATTGTTGCAGTCGCCCGTGGAGCGTAACACCATATGCACCTCAACCCGTGCTTCCTTCGCACTCCAGGTAATATCTGGCGCATCGACCCGCGCATCATTGGCGCTCCAGGCCTCATTTTTCAGATCTTCCGTGTCTCCAGCTATTCCAGAAGCTTCTTTTTCCCCTTGAATGGCAGGAACCTTGGCACCAAACGAAGAGACCTCCTCAGTCGCAACACACGACCTTTTCCCTCCGTCTTCCAAATCTCCAGGACCACATTCCTGAACGACAGGTACCACATCCACCACTCGCTCTTCTGCAGCCGACACAGTTCCGATCTCCACATTGGGAATCTTTTCTTCTGGACCTACCGATTCCACCGCTGCCACACCCTCAGAAAGTGCTCCCATTCCTTCCCGATCCAGATGTTGAGCTCCAGCGATGTCTGTTCGGTTTCCAGGAATCTCCTCCTCATCAGGAGAACCCGAGGTCGGGGCGTCACCACCAGCCCTAGGACCGCTATCCCTGATAGTAGAGGAAAAATCTTTTTCACCTAAACTATTTACACTACCCTGGAATGCCCTCGTAGACTCAGTCTTCGGAGTAGAGGATGAAGAATCCAGTGCCGCCTCCATTTCCAGCTCATTGCCCGAAGGAGACCCAACCACCTCGTCACTCTTCATCTTTTCACCTACCACCGGCAATGTCCACTTGCTTTCCTGCGTATCCAGGCAGTAATAATATTGTCTCCCATCTTCATGGAGGTGCCATTCCCACGTTGTCCCATCGCACGCTTTGATCAGATGCTCATCTTTCTGAAAACCATCCCTTTCAGAGACCTGTCGCATCTCGTCCTCTTCTTCGGACAACTGTCGCAACCTCTCAGCCTCCATCTGTAGGATCTCCTCCTCCCCCATGGCGTATCCAGCAGCAGGTGCAGCTTCAAAGCTGTCCGCACCCTTCTGTTCATGACTGCTTCCACCACCTTGGGAACTCGAAGATGGATCCCTTTTGATCTTGTTCAGAGGTCTCCTGGCCGCTTGCAGCACTTCTCCAATCAGATCGGTCTGAGACTCTTGGTCTACCATTCGACCCGAAGTCGAAGTCGACGGCTGATACCCGTGTTTGTGCAACACTCGTAAAACAGTCACCTCCATTTCACGATCTATACCACCAGTCGCGTCCCAGTTCCTTTTCTCACCAGGCTTTGGCGATTCAGAGACAGCACGTCCTTCAGCTTCAGTATTGCTAACCATATCCACATTGGGATTCATACCCGCATTGGGGCTTTCTGCAACCAAGGCTTCTTCCAGATGTTCTTCAGCGCCGGGAATCACCTCTTCCAACACCGATCTTTCACCCAGAGACTCAGCTGCACCATTTCCAGCTCCACTATTTTGTCCACCATCCGAGGCAGGTTGGAGCCATCGCTTCGGAGAAGGCATTGCTTCTTGATCCCAAAAACCTTGAAAGAACACTTAACCGCAGGGAACCTAATTTGGGCTCATAACCTACGGGGGGACAATCAAGGAAGGAAACCAACTCCCCTAATCGCCCTGAACTTATATTCCCCAGATCGAACCAAGAAACAAACAAGAACACGGATAAGAGCAACCCAGGGGGGAAGGAAAGGGGGAAGGAATCCACACCCTTACCAAACCCTAAGAACCCAGGCACTACTTTTTGAACTTGTGGCTTTCTGTTCAAGCCCATCTTGAGCCAAACATGATTTACGGGTTCATTAACCCTTCCAACTTCCAACACTAACTCTTTTCTACAATACCAATTGCAGCTCCGCACCCTAAACCCTACACCCTAAGTTGGCCTGTTTAGGATTTCGGGTTTGGGGGTTAAGGAACCGAAGCCTTGCCTTCGCGCTCTTACGATGGTTTTAGGCTCTATAGGTTCTCTACAACATACTTACATTACATTGCATTGCATTGCATTAACGTAAATATTACATTGCATTACATTACCTTACATTACATATATACATATATACATATATACATATATACATATATACATATATACATATATACATACATACATACATACATATATACATATATACATATATACATATATACATATATACATATATACATATATACATATATACATATATACATATATACATATATACATATATACATATATACATATATACATATATACATATATACATATATACATATATACATATATACATATATACATACATACATACATAAATGCATACATATATACCTTAAAGTGGACGGAATACATTCGAGTGTGGTCCCAGATCTGGAGTTAGTCCCCACGAGTCGAGTTTGTGGTTGAAGAGCTCGGGTTTAGGGGCTTGAGAGCTACAATTAGTTCGGATTGTGACGCCAAGGTTCCCGCCAAAGTGTATCTGTTTGGGTTTGGGTTGGGTTTAGATTTAAGCTTTAGGGCTTATAGGGCTTAGGGTTCAGCAAGGGTTCAGGGTTTAGGGTGGTGTAGGGGCTCCAAGACGAAAAACCATTAACCCGAAACTGAGTCTTCAAACCCTAAGCGCTGTAGACTTTCAAAAGCTTCAAGGTTTGGGGTTTAGGGTTCAAGGTTTGGATGTTTTGGCACCCGGAAGTCCAGGCCAATTTAAGTTTCGGATGGGTTCGCCCAAAACCGCCCCAAGCGTTTGCCCACCTTGCTTTACTTAGCATTTCTGGTTTGGTGCCAGGGTGAGCTCTCTTCCTCCCTGCGAAAGCAAAAATTGAGAAGTCCGACGATCTACACATTATTGCGGGAATGTTTAGCGTTGGGGGTGGTCGCGTTTCTTTGTAGGATTGTAGGCAGGTATCCAAGCAAGAGGCTCTGGGATTTTCGTACTCAAAAGAATCGCATGCACGAATACTGGACAAAGGATGCTTGCAGCCAAGGTAGGGGTTCTAATTCGTCACCCTAATACCCTAAGCCCTAAACCCTAAACCCTAACCCTAAACCCTAAACCCTGAACCCTAAACCCTATAAGCCAAAAAACCCTAAGCTTAAGTGTTCCAGGACCACATCAACATTGGTACCATCGGCCACGTCGACCACGGAAAGACCACGCTTTCGGCGGCCATCTCCCTCGTTTGCAGCCAGCCCGGTGCCCAGCTGCTGTTCTTTGTGGTGCTTTACTGTAGCTTTAGATCCTTAGCCTTTTTGGGTTTATTGGGTTTCTTAATAAGGCAGCTAAAATTTAAATTTTTAGCTACTCTCCTAAGTGCAGCCAAGTGTTATAGGGCGTGTAAGCCCTACACCCTGCACAAGAAACCATACACAATCTTCCCAGTCCTCCCTATATCCCAATTCCTCAACCCCCTGCTACTACGTAGGACGCTGCGGAGCTTCAAACCCTAAACCCCTACATGAAACCTAAACCCCCATGTATGCCCCAAGCCCTAACTTACAAGCTTTTGAAGGGTGGTCAAGATTGAGTGACGTTCAGTCGTTTACTTCGAGGTTCAAGGTACTTAGTAACCCATTATAAGTGTAGTTATAACTAAGCCCCTTAAGTACCCTAATAGGGTTATCATTGGTTTATCAGTAACGTTATACTTGGGTCACTAGGCACCATGATCCTCCAAGTAGTTCTGCAGCGTGCAGTCCCCAGACCCCAAGAACCTCGTGGGCTTGTACTGCAGGTTCAGCACCTCTGACGACACGACGCGGAAGTCCTACGAGGCAGGTGATACCACTTTGCCGTTAAAGGGTGTAAGGTTTAAGGTTTGGGGTTTAGGGCTTAGGGCTTAGGGTTTAGGGTGGTTTAGGGTTTAGGGGTTTTAGGGCAACTGGCCGTGCCAGGGCTTAACCATTTGCCGGCTGAGGGTTTGGAGATTTGCTCGGGCCAAGTCCTGTGCTTCGCGCGGGCGTCAAGACAAGTTCACTACTTCACCTAGACCGCTTGTCTGCGAGTTGCTTCGGAACCCTCCCTCCCCCCCCCCCTCCCCCCCCAAAAAAAAGAGTCAAAATATTCTTCCTTATAAGGGTAATGTAGGGACGACGACGACTACGACTACTACTACTACTACTGCTACTACTACTGCTACTCGTACTACTACTACTACTACTACTACTACTACTACTACTACTACTACTACTACTACTACTACTACTACTACTACTACTACTACTACTACTACTAACTACAACTACAACTACAACAACAACAACAACAACAACAACAACAACAACAACAACAACAACAACAACAACAACAACTACTACTACTACTACTACTACTACTACTACTACTACTACTACTACTACTACTACTACTACTACTACTACTACGACTACTACTATTTATCATTATTGTATTTTCTGGGGGGGGTTCTTAAGCAAGTAGTAGTTGTGGAACTCATCTTATCCGGCTAGACTTAACTTGAAGAGCCTACAAACCATGTACACTGTCCCTAAACCCTAAACTCCCGAAGCTCGGCAGAGACATTGGGTAGAACCCCGCAGGAGATCGACAACGCGCCGGAGGAGCGAGCCCGTGGAATTACCATCAACGCCCCTTGGGAGCAAAAAATGGACCTTGCATGAAACAGGGTTTGGGGTTTAGGGTTAAGGGGGCAGGGTTCCGTGCAAATGTTGTTGAATGTATGTGGAGTGTCTTTTGAGGGGTATTAGAAACAGGCACTACCCACGAGCAAACGGTCCTTGATACTCTTTTCGGAGGTAAGTACATGAGGGCGTGCCCTCATATAGGGAGACATCCACATCTAATGCACCCTAGACCCTAAACCCTATCCTTTCAGGTTTGTGGACCCTGAAGCCTTTTGGGTTCACTCTAGTCCCTGAGGCCTCGCACATCGAGTACGAGACGGAGTCCAGGCCTTCGAAGGATTGCTCTTGAGTTTAGGGTTTAGGGTTTAGGGTTAGGGTTTAGGGTTTAGGGTTTAGGGTTTAGGGTTTAGGGTTTAGGGTTTAGGGTTTAGGGTTTAGGGTTTAGGGTTCAGGGTTCAGGGTTCAGGGTTCAGGGTTTAGGGTTCCGGGGGGTAAGGTACAGGGCGGTATATGCTTTCGTTTCTGTGGGTACCTCATACGCCTGCTTAGCCATGAAATCTCCTTAAGGGCACAAACAGGGTGCCTCTGTGCTTACGCTGTCCTGGAGAACCTAGCGAGTGGCCTTTGCGAATTCCCTGTAGCAGGTCCCGCGTGTAGGGCTTAGGGGCTCGGGCTTGCGGTTTGGGGTTGAGGGCTCCCCTATACTTCCGGGGGCCAAATATGAGGGTTACTAGAACACCTGAAGGACACCCTTTGGGGGTTTACGAAAATAAGGGACCCCAAATGTAAACCCCCAAATGGTACGCCTTAAAATCAGGACCCCAATAAGCTGCCTCTAATTTCGTAAACCCCCCATATTTTGGTTCCTGGAAGGATCGGGTTCAGGATGGTTTTTTGAATGCCAGGCACTACTGCCATGTGGACTGCCCCGGACACGCGGACTATGTCAAGAACATGATCACAGGACCTTCGGCAGCCTTGTCCGTTGGAACCCGAGAAGGTCCCGAAGCAAGAAGCCCGCAGACGGTGGGCGGGGGGGGGGGGGGGCCCCAAGAACCCTAAACCCTAAACCCTAAACCCTAAACCCTAAACCCTAAACCCTAAACCCTAAACCCTAAACCCTCCAACAAGGAGCCTAGACCCGAAGTTTTGCGGCTTCGAAGGCCCCTCTGACCCCCTTAAAACTCACAAGACTCAACCACCGAGGCCCTAGAAGCTCTTGATTGGCCCGTTTATGGTTCCGATATGTGACCCTAAACCCGAGCCCTAAACCCTAAACCCCGAACTTAGAGCCTTGTGCCTTAGGCTTCTGAGGGGCCCTTTTGTGTTCGGGGGCCCCTAGCGGAATGTAGGGTTTATAGAGTTGCGAGTTCAGGGTTTAGGGCCGGACTAGAACCACCACCCCCTTAGACCCTAAACCCTAAACCCTAATCCCCAAAAACCCTAAACCCGACAAGGCAGCAGCACTTGCCTCCCCTCTGTCAAGGAGCCTGCCAGATGGACGGCGGCATTCTCGTCATCTCCTCCCCAGATGGACCTATGGCACAGTTCCTCGGCCTAAACCCTAAACCCTAAACCCTAAACCCTAAACCCTATACCCTAAACCCTAAACCCTAAACCCTAAACCCTAAACCTTAGGGCTCCGGCTTCAGGATTCAGACCCTGAAGGTCTTAGAGTTCAGGGGTTAGGGTCTTAGGATTCAAGGTTGAGGTTCTCCGGGTTTACCGGGCTCTTTTTGGGGTGAGTTGGGTTTAAGGGTTTGGGGTCTTGGGCTTAGGGGTTAAAACCCATGCCCGATTTCAAGGCTGATAGAGACCCTACTTGGAGGTTCATGGTACTTAGTAACCCAACCATAACTGCACTTGTACTGAGTCAATCACTCAGTACCCTGAACCTCCAAGTCAGTCCAAGCCTGATAAAGACACCAAGCACATAAAATCTGCGAGTCTAAAACCCTCGTTCGCCGCCCCCCCCCCCCCCCCCCCCTAGGGTTTAGGGTTTAGGGTTTAGGGTTTAGGGTTTAGGGTTTAGGGTTTAGGGTTTAGGGTTTAGGGTTTAGGGTTTAGGGTTTAGGGTTTAGGGTCACACACCAGCCTTCTAAGGACCCGCGAGCACATCCTCCTCTCCAAGCAGGCTGGGGCCGTGCTGGGTCGACTTGGCCGGCGCATCTCAGGTTCAGGCTATGAGCGTTTAAGGTTTAGGGTTTAGGGTTTAGGGTTTAGGGTTTAGGGTTCAGGGTTTAGGGTTTAGGGTTTAGGGTGCGGAGGTTGCCTTGTATAGTTTGGAAGGGTGAAGCACCCGCAAACATGCTTGGCTCAAGATGGCCGAGAGCCGTCAGCTTTTGTTGAAAAAGTACGTACGCTTGGGGTTGGGTTTAACGGGTTGGAGTAGTCCCGTCCCTTCTCCCTTATCCTGTCCCCTTAGGGTTGGGTGTTCTTGTTTCTGGTTCGATCTGGGAAATCTATATAGGCGACTGTTGAGGGTTGGTTTCTTTCCCTGTTCCCTTTCGGTTGCCCCCGTAGGTTATGAGCCCAAATTAGGTTCCCTGCGGTTAAGTGTTTTTCTCAAGGATTCTGGGTTGAGAAGCAATGCCTTCGCCCAAAAAATGGCTTCAGCCCTCCACGCATGGTGACAAAAGTGGTGGAGCTGACAGCGGAGTGGATAGTGGTGCAACTGGTTCTCAGGTTGAAGAAGCGGCGCTGGAAGAAGAAATGCCTGGTACTGCAGAAGAACAACTGGAGGGAACGTCAGTTGCTGGAGACCCCAATGAGGGCATAAATCCCAATGCGGATATGGTTGAAAATGCTGCAGGTGAAAGACGAGCTGTTTCTGTATCACCAAAACCTGGAGAAAAAAGGCACTGGGATGAAACTGGTGGTATAGACCGTGAACTAGGAGCGACCGTTTTACGCGTGTTGCTGAGGCATGGGTATCAGCTGTCTACTTCAACTTCAGGTCGAATGGTCGACCAGGAGATTCAGACCAATCTGAGTGGTGCGGTGTTGCAAGCATCCAGAAACCCTCTTAACAAGATTAAGGAAGGTTCCTCGGCGAGTTCTATGCGCGATGAAGGCGGTGATGTACAGGGGAAAAAGGGTGTGGACAGTTCTGAAGCTGCACCTACTGCTGAATACGCCATGGACGAGGAAGAGATCTTGGAGATGGAGGTAGAAAGGTTCAAGTCTCGGAAGAGAATGATGTTCAGGAAGAAGGGCATTCTATCGAGGCAAGTGATGGGACAACTTGGGAGCGACATTTCCACAAAGATGGGAGGCCATATTTTTACTGCCTGGATACGGGAGAAACTAGGTGGACACTGCCGGAGGAAGGTGAAAAGATGGAAAGTGCTAAGGTGGTTGAGTCTCTTTCGGGCAATGAACTGGAGTTGGAGACTGCACTGGGTCCTTCATCGTCTAATGTTGACTTCGCATTAATAACCCCCCCCCCCCTTCATTGATCAATCTCTCCGGCCAGGGCCTCCTCAATAGTATCCGCTTAAAAACTGGTAGGACGTAGTATTAGTTTTAGTATTAGGTAGTAGTACCACTAGTAGTACTAGTAGTACTAGTAGTAGTAGTAGTAGTAGTAGTAGTAGTAGTAGTAGTAGTAGTAGTAGTAGTAGTAGTAGGAGGAGGAGGTTGAGGGGTGAGGGTTCAGGCCCTAATTAGGGGTTTAGGGTTGAGGGGCGAAGGGTTTAGGGTTGAGGGTTTAGGGTTGAGGGTGTGGGGTTTCAAAACTTGAGGGTAATTAGAAAAGCTGAACCCTAAACCCTTAACCCCCTAAACCCTCAACCCTAAACCCCTAATTAGGCCCTCAACCCTGAAGCCTCAACCCTAAACCCTAAAGCCTTAGCCCCGAAAACCTTAAACCCCCAGCTTTCTATTGCTGCAGCCATCCTGAAGAGCTCTAAGCCCTGCCTCCTGCACTTCTACTCGCACTCTACCTCGTGCCTCCTCTGCACATTGTTCTATGTGGTTTCAGGGTCTGATTAAGTTTAGGGTTTAGGGGCTTAGGGTTTAGGGTTTAGGGTTTAATTAGGGTTTAGGGTTTAGGGTTTAGGGTTTAGGGTTTTAGGGTTAGGTGCATTCTTCTGACTCTAATTCCTAAGATTATCTCAGGTGCTACAATGGTGGCTCCTCATCCGCACACCCTAGCACAGTGCAGGACTCTGGGTGCTCTGAAGAAGCTACTTGTCTAATTAATTAATTAATTGTAAAGTCTAGACCTCAAAGCACCAAGTGTAAAACTGTTTGTTTGCATCTAAGTGAGCTCTACTACCAGATCGGTCGCTATTCCCGTCAGAGGGACTCTATGAGCCGACTACGCCGAGCTCAGGAGACTCTAAGGTTCAGGGCCCTGGAGTCTTTTGGCTGTAACTCAACCTTTTTTCTACTGTAATTAGGGCTTGTTTACCTAGCTAAATTAAACTCTTAGCCCTAATTAAGTCCTAAAGCCCAGACCCCAAACCTAAACCCAGCCAACTAAGGTGGCTGACGGAGGCTCTACTGGCCATGTCTACCATCTGTCCCGGGCAGGAGCAGCCCTGGTGGCATGGTCTATGTCAGCTGATCTGCAGTAATGAAGGTAGCTCCTCTAAACCCCAAACTCTGAGTAACTAATTATAGTTTTTAGTTAGGGTGTAGGGTTTAGGGTTTAGGGTTTAATTAGGGTTTAGGGTTTAGGGTTTAGGGTTTAGGGTGCAGGGTTCAGGGTTCAGGGTTCAGGGTTTAGGGCTTAAGGTGTGGAATCTCTAACTAAGGCTATGTCATCACCTTGGAGCTCTCGGTCTCCATCCTCTATGCCTTCATCCACAATGTGAGGGGCTCTACCGACGGGGAGGCTATAGAAGCACAAGGGATGGGTGGTCTAATCAATTAGGCTTTAACTATCGTGATCTTTTTTTCTATTTAGCATGCAGGACATGGACATCAACCAAGCCAAGGAGGTTCGGCAGACTCTACTCTGGCTCTGGCAGCAGTATTTTGGATGCAATCTAATTAGCCCTCATTATAAACCCAACACCCTAAACCCCAAACCCTAGACCCTAGTCAAACCCTAAACCCCAAAACCCTAAACCAGGTGACCATTTTTTCTAATATGGTAGAGCAGGTCTACATTCGTGACGATGGGTGGTCTAAATGAGATGAGATCTAACCACCCCTGGCTGCAATTCTACTGCGATCGCGCCGTGCAGAAGATCCGGGCGCATCTACAGTATCATGCAGAGCTTCTAGGCTTGCATATTGGAGCTGCTCTTATTTGTTATGCATCTAATTACTAATTTAACGACCTAATTACTTCTGGTTGTGATGTTTCTAAGGTTCTGCGAGTTCAAAGGCCTCTACTGGTCGGAGATGTGGACTACTGTGGCTTGGACTCTATTTTGGAATAATTATTTGAAGCTTGCAGTTGCTAGCATTTCTACATGCTCACATGCTCTGAGGGGGTCTGGCTGGATCTAACTCCCGACATGCCTACGCTCCTTGGCTGTAGCAAAACCCGAAACCCTAAACCCTAAACCTTAAACCCTAAACCCTAAACCCTAAACCCTAATTAAACCCTAAACCCTAAACCCTAGGCTGTCTGCAGCAGTCTAGCAACTCAGGTTCAGGTGCATTGCCCCGGACATCTACGGTGGCGAGGATGAGGCTCTACACAGGGCTCCTAAACCTTAAACCCCAAACCCTAATTACACCCCAAACCCTAAAGCCTAACCCTAAACCCTAATCAAACCCGAAACTAGTTTGGCTTAGGGTTTAGGGTTTAGGGTTTAATAACAGGATGGAGATGATGACGGCCACGACGACGAGGGGCAGGAGTCTCTACTCTACAGAGGGTCCCTAAGCCCTAACCTGAAACCCTAAACTCTGAACCTAATGTGATTCAGGGTGTAGGGTTTAGGTCTTAGGGTTAAGGGTCTAATTATTTAAGGAGGGTTTAGGGTTTAGGGTTTTAAACAGGAGGGCGATGGGGATGGCGATGGCGACGAGGAGGTGCAGGAGTCTCTACAGAGGGTCCCTAAACCCTAACCTTAATTAAGCCCTAAACTCTGAACCTTAATGCGGTTTAGGGTGTAGGGTTTAGGGCTTAGGGTTTAGGGTCTAATGAGGGTTTAGGGCTTAGGGTTTAAAACCCTGAAGGGCGATGGAGATGGCCATGGCGACGAGGAGGTGCAGGAGTCTCTACAGAGGGTCCCTAAACCCTAACCTTAATTAAGCCCTAAACTCCGAACCTTAATGCGGTTTAGGGTGTAGGGTTTAGGGCTTAGGGTTTAGGGTCTAATGAGGGTTTAGGGCTTAGGGTTTAAAACCCTGAACAGTCTAAGCCCTCCTCAGGAGCAGATGCATGGGCCAGCTCTAGCCGCCGTCGCCGAGGACTGCTGGTACTGACCCTAACTACCCTAAACCCGAAACTAAACCCTAAATCCTAAACCCTGAATCCGAGACCTTAAACCCCCCGCCTGAGAACTTCCAGTGTGTTCTAGACCCGAAGCTCTAAACCCTGAGAGGATGGCTCTACGGGCAGCTGAGACTCTTGGAGGTCTCTAGAAAGGCACAGAGCTCTTCTACAGCTGAGCTCCTCTAGGAAGCACAAGCTCTAGTGAAGGAGCCACCATTAGCTGTAGGTTTGCATTTTTCGAGAGAGAGAGAGAGAGAGATAACACTAGGGAAGAGTTTACTTGTCTACCAACTTGATCTAGTGGCTCTTTTGCGACGAGGCAGTGCCTGCATTTTGTAGTAGCAGCCTCTACTTCGGCACAGAGAGGTGCTTCTACCGGAAAAAAGAGCCTTCTTCGGTGACTAAACCCTTAACCCTAAACCCTTAACCTTAAACCCTAAACCCTAAGCCCTAAGCCTTAAGTAACCCTAAACACACAACCCTAAACCTTAAACCCTAAACCTTAAACCCTAAACCTCTTTTGGTAGCTGCCTCTACTTCGGCACAGAGAGGTGCTTCTACTGGAAAAGTAGAGCTGAACCCTAAGCCCAAAACCCTAAACCTTAAACCCTAAACCTGCAGCTTGCCAGCAACCATCTACACGTTTTGCTGCTTCTGGAAGTGAAGTGAAGGCAGTCTAGACTCTAGTAGTCTTTGCTGCCATGGAGGAGGATATCTCCAGTGCAGAAGAGGCA